ATATAAAACTGCCACTAGTTCAACTTATGAAGTGTTATCTTATTAGACTCCAAAATTTTCTTTTGAAAATAGATGTGGAAATCCCAAAGGATCATATTAATTACTTTCTTCGTACATAGACAATATAGAATTAAAAGTGAAATGTTTTTGCGCTAGTCTTAATTAAATTTAACAGTTATAATTAAATTTAAAAATCAAATAGGTAATGAATATCTTATGAGTTGAATCTATCGTATTGGATTTATCTAATGTCTTTTTTATATTTTTTGTCTAATTTGTAGGATATTATATTGTGGGAGATTGAGTTTATGAGTCCGGAGCCTTAAACGGTATAAAATATAATAAAAATTTCAAAATAGTATATAAAATTTTATATTAATCAAAACGGTAAAATTGCTGGAACAACAATGATTTTTTCGTCGGAGAAAGCAAAATAGATACTATTGAAGCGATTTTGCAAAATGTGATTTTTTCTTTATAAATTTTTTTTTGAATTTCTTTTGGTTTTTTAAAAATGAAAATCGCTGCTTTTTTTGAATTTTTTTAAAAATAAAATCGCATAGGCAGCGATTTTCTTGAATTTTTTTTTCCAAGACTCTCGAATTTACCCTAAGCACAGAAAGTGATACCAAGATAAAAATTATAGCAACAATGAATTATCTTAAATTCCAAAGAGATATAAATATATTATCGAATTTTCACGAATCCATATATTAAATGAAATGGCATATTAGACAAAATACACAACTAACATATAATTAGCCTTGATATCAGATAAGTTGTGATTATCCATTTTGTATAATTTATACATATCCTTAATTACGTCACCCCTTTTAAAATTTAAATATATTTAATGTTGATTATCTTAAGTTATAAAATATAATAGTATCACATTTTTAAAAAAAATTGGCCGAATACAACTTTCTAATGAAGACAATTATCATTTAATAAGTATTACTATAATAATTTGTAGCTTTTTTCTGTTGAACTATGTAAGTTATAACTTATAAATTAATTTTGACTTTTGTTGTCAAATATACATTAAGATAAATTGAATAATTTACAACTAACAACATGCAAGATACACGAGAATTTATTAAAATTAACGGTTATTTTTTGTGGTATTTACTTCACAATTAATTAGAAATTTATCATATCATTAATAGTGTGGCTTTTCAATATTTTTTTTTATATATATATAACGTTCAAAAAATAATAATGAACCAATCCGTTGAGAATCCTAAAAATAAATGCTTCGTAAAAAACATTTAAATGCAAGGTAGTAATCTATTATGCTGACATAAATGCTAAAAAGTGCTTTAAAAATAGCTTTTACAGTATTATTATTTTTTTATAGAAAAAAAATATTTCAATAATCCCTTAATTGAAGGAAAATGAAATTAACAAGTGGAAGAGTGAAAGTTGAACTCAATACCTATATCCACATTTAAATTTATATTAAATCAGTTAATTTAATTTTAATAATTGATAAATATATTACGCCTGAATTACATATATTTTATACGGAAAAGGGCCTAAAATTTCTTTAAAGTATTGAGAATAGTATAAAATTACTCTTCATCCGCTCCAAAATGCCTTTCTCATCCACCTATTGACTTCAAAATACTTTTGTCATCCATCTTTGGGTTCGAACCACTAATTTAACGGTTTTAAAATTAAATTGGTTAAATATTTTTTAAAGTACTTGGCGCTCAACTATTGATTATAATTTAATTTATTAATATAATTTTTAAATCAACCCACTATACACTCATTACTAACTAAACACCAACCGATTAATAAATCAATTATAATATCAAAATCGCCATAAACACTACTAATACACGACGAAATGATAGATTCCTGAAAATGACATCAAAAATTATTCGAGTCCGAATCGAAACCCCAGTTAAAATGTAAGTTGAGCAGCTTATTTAGAAGGACACTTTCAATATGATTCTCTTTCAAGTTTGAATTCAAAATTTATGACAAAAGGTAATGAAGTAGTATATCCCGAATTAATTCACTACACTTTTTTTTAATATAATTTTATAAATATTTATGAAATTAACAAGTGGAAGAGCGAAAGTTGAAATCAATACCTATATCCACATTTAAATTTATATTAAATCAACTAATAATTAATTAATATATTACGCCTGAATAACATGTATTTTATATTTATTAATTTGATATAACAGAGGCAAATAATTTTTTACCGTTCGAGTAACATCATTGACTATTTTTTTCAATTTTGTTGAGAAAAGTGCATATATCTCTAACTAATAAATTGTGTAGCTAGTTTCCAAACAAGTAGAATTAGTAGTAATACTTTTTCCATACTAATTGGGAGTGTCACCACACCAAATACTCTATAATAAGTCTAAAAAGTGAGAGAAACAAATATTTACCACAAAATTAAAGAATCAAATAATAATTGAAAGGTCTCCAAATGTTGACAAATCTAACAACAACATTATAACGTGGGTGGGTCCAATAATCCAACTATATTCTATGAAAAGAACACTTTTATTTTTTGAATTTTCATTTATGTTTGGTTAATAAAACTATACTATTAAGAGACTATTTGGATGAACTTAAAAATTAGTTAAATTAATTTGAAAGTTAATTTTTGATTTATTAGAGCATTTGTTAAATATCAAAGTAATATATTTTAAATAAAAAATAATTTATTTTAAGCTAAAAGTTAGGTGAAGAGTGTTTTTTTTTCAACTTAAAAGTCATTTTATAATAAATGTGAATATTATCTTTTTATAAAAAAAAAGTGTTTACTAGCACTTTTTTGCCAAATACATCAACAACTTTTTTTTAACTTCAATACTTTTATCCAAACACATAACTACTTATTTTAAAAGTAAGTTTCATCAAAAATACTTTTTAAAAGTTACTTTTTTAAGCCCATCCAAACGGATTTATTTGATAGGACAGGTATTTATGATGAAAGATTTTGAATAAATTATATTTCTATTTGATCTAAAGGTATATTATATATAAATTTGCAATTAATATAATATATAAATTAATTAAAAGAAATGTTAAATACTATTAACATTAATATGGAATATAACTATGCTAAAATAATACAAGTAAAATAAATCACTATTTACAAAAAAATTCATCAAAAAAGAAGTAAAATCCTTCACATATATTATGAAGATTTCAAGAGACTTCACGAAGATTTCAAGATCCTTTATATATTATTGAGATTTTATTATCTTTCATATATTACGGAGATTTTAAGATCCTTCGTACGTACATGACTACGATCATTCCTACTTTTATTACACAATTCCATAATAGTAGAAGATCTATTATTTTAATTATCTATGTTGAAAGTTTTATATTGGTTTTATTTTTATTTGATCTAAAAGTATGTATTATAATTAGTAACATAATATATAAATAAAAATAAATATTATCAATATGAGTATGATAATTTAAGAAATATCTAGCAAATACATTCAAACAATTTCATAAATTAAATTACTCAATATGAAAATTCACCTTAAAATAGGTAAGATCCTTCATATAATACGAATCGTATGAAGATTTAAAGATTCTTCGTAATTTACAAAATTTTCAAAATCTTTTATAATTTATAAAAATTTCAAGTTCTTTCATATATTACGATAATTTCATTTCTAATTTTATCATGCAATTTCATAATAATAGAAGATCTACTCTCATATAGTTTATCCACTTGCATTTTCATTATCCATAGGCAGGAATTTTAGTTATCAAAAATTACTTTAATCCTCATTAATCACGTAAGCAAACGAATTTTTAGTAATAAAAGAGTAATTATCGTTCCACGTAACATGATAAAATGGAGGGTACCAGCATTTAGGTCTTATGGTCCATCAAACACCAACGTGTCCTTTCACATTTTTTAATTTCTGTCATTGCACAGCTGTCCATTTCTTTATGGGCCACGTATACTTAATCTTACATTTTTAATCTCAAAATTAACTTAATGTCTGACTAATATGATTTGTTTAGAGTTGAAACAAATGACGGGAAGGGTATTAGGTGGCGTCTCAGTCAAAAAATTTGATTAATTCAACCAAACATTAGGAAAGAACCTTCTTTTATTTTTCAACTAACTCAAATCATTTTCTTCCCGCGAGAAATTATTCTCTAACCAATAACCAAACGAACATAATTTAAAAATATTTTTATGCATATTATCAAGTATTTATAACAATAGATGCTTACAATTATATTACATCATATAACCATATAAATTAGCTTCAATAAGCGGGGGTGAACTCAGCGTTATCCGTCAAATGTTCAAGCATCAATTAATCTCGTCTTGAAATATGTATATGTCTATATAGAAATAAAGATATATCTGTATAAAATTAACTAGAGCACCCAATTAACAAATAATTTGACTGATTTATTGACTCTTGAGTAGGCGCTTAAATTTTTTTTAGTGTTGTTGAGCCTGAGTTCAAATCTCACTATTTAAATCTTACAACCTTAAAATTCCTAATTCTGTCACTGTCAGTAAGTCCAAGACCTCAAGCGTGTATTCTCAAACACACATCAAATAGATAAGTGAACTCTACAAAATATATCATCTTTTTTTAGGAAAAAAAGATAAACATATCCCGAACTATCGTAAATGGGTAGATACCCTCCGTCATATTTTTGGATATGATGTCGCTATTGTGCAAAAATGCGAAATATATATCCTTTACACTAATAGATATACACGTGTCATAATCTTATCTACTGACTCGACATTTATCAATTAAGAAATATCATAATCGAAATATATCTAAATAAAATTTATTGAGACATATCGTAATTCGAGCATATCCAAATAAAATTAGACACAATAATGTTGAAGAGACATGTATGTGTGTATAGTATAGTATGTACATAATCTCTCTATAATGGGCTATGTGCATCCACCCTATGAATAGCTGGCCATTATTGAGGAATTTTCCCTTTATATATAATCTGAGTCTTCCTTGTTAAATCATTACTTTACTCTTACAGAGAAGAGAAAAACACTCAAAAAAGTTTGGAAGAAAAAAAAATGGAAACTTTTTCTCATCTATCATCAAGATCCAGGTCTTGTGAGAGCTTTTTTAATGATGGTGTTGAGCAAATACCAGGGGAAGTAGTGGGAGAGGAAGAAGAAGAAGAAGAACAAATGGAGGAGATTACCAACACACCACAAAGTGGATGGTTTAGGAATGTTGAGGAGCCATGGTTGAATAGTAGATCTCAAAAGAAGAAGAAAAATCAAGTGTTTCTTGAAGGGTATGTAGAAAATTCAGATGAAGATGAATTAGGGAGGACAAAGAGTTTGACTGATGATGATTTAGAGGAGCTTAAAGGGTGTTTAGATCTTGGTTTTGGTTTCAGTTATGATGAAATTCCTGAGCTTTGTAATACTTTACCAGCTCTTGAACTTTGCTATTCTATGAGCCAAAAGTACCTTGATGAACAGCAAAAGTGTTCTGATGCTATGTCTGATACTGGTTCTTCTGGATCTGGTCATGTTGCTAATTGGAAGATCTCTAGTCCTGGTGAGTCTTTTTTTCCCCCCTCTCTCTAGGGTTTTGTATCTGTAACAAGGGTTTGTGAAAAATCTTGTTTTTCTAGTTAGATTCTTGTTAAAAAGCTTTCATTTTTATGTAGTAAAGGTGGAGTCTTTGGAGTTATAAACTCTTTGTTCCTTAACTTTTATGCTTTTGTGTTACAAAAGACTATACCCCAAAAGGAGAAAATGAAAAAAAAAAAGGGATCTTTTTGTTATGTGTTTCTTGTTTTTTGTTGGTTGGGAAGGTGAAGATGATGAAAAATCTTCAATTTGTTGCTCAATTGTCACTAATGTTGATACATTTTGTAATACCTCAGGTGATGATCCTGAAGATGTGAAAGCAAGGCTGAAATACTGGGCTCAAGCTGTGGCATGCACTGTTAAATTATGTAACTAAAAAGGGAAAAATGGAAGCCAAGAAAAGCTTAATGCAAGATGAGAGGGGAAATGAAATGATCTTTTCTTCATATGAAAGAGTACTTGTGCTGTGGTCTCTTTGCCTGGATCCTGAAAAAAAAAAGGCTATGGCCACAAGGCCAAGAAGAAGGTACCTCATGCTTTACCTGAAGATAGATTCAAAAAGAATCATGTCCATGATGGGTAGGCAAAGTTTAATCAAAATCCCAAAGTAGATGAAGAGGAAGGAAGAGATGTTTCAGGGCTAAAAGATTAACCAACACATGGACTAAAATCGATATAACTTTGTGTATCAGTTTTAGTCCCAAGATTGCAATTCTTCTTCATGTTTTAATTTTGTTTTCTTATGTAATGCTGATCAAAATACTGTTCTTGGTTATTAATAAATCAAGTTTCTTCCTTGTTATATGTTCTCTTTTTGAGTAACAGAACTCAATCGCGTTTATCAATCAATCTACTTACATGTCAGATACGTTTCGATAATGTTCCAACAGTATCTTTGAAACTTTTAACCGAAAGTCTTTTTACTCCAAAGGATAAAAAAAAATGAAGCATATTCTAAGATATCCTTGCAAGTTGTGGTTAATTGGTAATTCTGTGAAGGAATCAAATCTCTAATAGAACTTTGTAAAAACAGTTGTTAGTTGTTGTCGTGTGTTTAAGATTTGACGGTAAAAAAATTTCTTGCACAATAGCACACAATCTTTCTCCCGAATAGTCAAAGCTTAGTGTACTGTAGTTCTTCCATGTGACATATGGCCACAAAATAAAGTAGTTCGTTATGCGTATCTTTAATTTAAAGCCATAAAATTAAAAAACGTAGCAAATCACCCTATCTTTGCGTGGAGTGGCAAATGAACATTCCTCAGTACTTGAAAATCTTGAAACACATTTTAAGAAATTGTTCTCATTAAGCAGCAAAAAACTCAACCTCATTTCTAGAGCAATGAGAGTCATCATATTTCGTAGAACAACGAATATCATCGTTCATAGCACCAACAATAATCAGTTTACCTACGCAAGACATCCTGCACACAACTTATTTCTTATTATTAAGGCGATAACATACTTGTATATCGAGCAACTACAGTCCCGAGTCATTAAAACAACTACTATGCAACTTTTATTACAAATTCATGGCAATGAACGAGTTTACACAACCAAAGTACATCAACAAGGAAAAACTAAGGGGGTGGGGTACAAGCTCGCTTGTTTCGTAGGCAGGGAAGAAGGAAAAAGATAGAACCATGAAAGCACTTCCAACTGAAGGTCAATACATATGCTGAACTTTCACACCTGTAGTGCTCAAGCCACACCCAACAGATTTTTTATGTCTTTCTGTAAAAGGACAAGAAAGAGGAAAAATTAGTAACATATACAGAGAAAAGAAGGTTTCATAAATGTTTATCTCAATCTGGTTCTTGGATTTTACTAATATTTCTCTATCTAATGAAACATAATATTCGTAGACTGGTAATCTTCATTATGTTACTTCTGCAGTATATCATTATAATAATGATGGAAATTCGAGAAAGGTAGAATATGAATGAACAAACGAAAAACAGTTGAAGTTTTACCTCAAACTGAAGAGGTGGTGTCTTGGGTGCATATCGTTCCACAACCTTTCCTTCTTTGTCCACAAGGAATTTGGTGAAGTTCCACTTGACAGCACTTCCAAGGAAACCGCCTTTTTCTGATTTCAAGAACTTGTAAAGTGGTGCAGCATTATCCCCGTTCACATCAATCTGTGGAATCAAATAACTTCCTTAAATGACATGGAGTTTATGACAATATATATACACACGTGACGTAGCAACTGAGAATACAAAGGGAGATAGTGATGAGTTTCATCTTTGGATGGTTTCTGAGTTTCATATTCTGTTCTATGGCTTATTCGGTAGCAAGTTTTATTAGAAGAAAGAGGAGATAAGAAATAGAGAGACAAGGCACAATCTTGGTGCAGTTCTCCAATTATGAAACAAATACCTATTTACTTGTTCGAGTAAAAACAAAAAAGAGAGGACAGGAATATAGTGGGTTGATAGAGATACATGCTCAGAAAATGCATATCAGGGCTGAACAGAATGATACAACTAACTTTTGCACAAAGCTTCCAAAGTTTGGACTGTTCACAGAGCAACTTAAAAGTAGTTTGCAACTTATATTACGTTCTCTGATAATAACTTCATAAATCTTTTTATAGATGTTCAGAGGTTGCAAGACAACCTTTAAAAGAACAATAGAGACTCTGCAGAGAACATGTATCCACACTAGAATACCCAAAGTTTTATGCAGTTTCAATAGTATAGTTCAACAGTATATCACCAGAAATTGATCAGAAGGTAAAAATAAATTGTTGATTCTTGAGACGCTAATATTGTTGGGGTGAAGAAATTCTTATGTGCAGTACCGCATAATATGCTGCGATCAAGTTTTTTTTTTTAAAAGCATTCAAAGATGAGAGCTACCAGTCATCTGGAAAATGATTCAAAATTATACGGTTTTGGGCTGTCATACAGTAGCTGTTACCTTTTCAAATACAGGGAATTCAGCTTTGAACCTGGTGCATACAGTTTGCTGAATCTCCTCATTTGTTCCGGGTTCTTGCCACAGGAACTGGTTACAAGGAAATGCTAAAATTTCAAAACCTGAAATAGCACTTTACTGGTTATGTTTATGACCACACGATATGGTTTAATAGAAATTCATCATAGATTGGAACTGCAGAAATAGACGAATTGTCAACCTTGATCTTTGTACTTCTCATACAAAATATTCAGCTCCTTGTAGTTTGAATCTGTTAAACCACTGCAAGGGAAAAAGGATACCACAATATAGGTGAAGACTGGAAAGATTGTCTTCAATAAATTTTTGTGATTCATTCCCTATTTAAAGTATAAATAATAGCTACTTTTAAACTTCAACCAAACAACAATACCATTGACCTAAGAAATAGAGGCACTTACCAATTTCAGAGTGGGAACCATACAAATACTATTATTCGCTTATTCAACAGTATAAGGTGCACAGGTGGTTCTCGTTAATTTAAGCTTTTCTTGAGCATGTGGTTATAGACATTATAATATATCATCATCAATCAACATCAACATCTAAGACAGTTCAAAACTATGTGAACACTAATCTCAAATTTTCGTTATTGCATTCTTTGCAAAAATAAATAATTATAAGTTAAGTAAGTTCAAAGAACCTGCTAGCAACTTCTTTAGTCAGGGAATCCCAGAAAATAATGCAGGAGGATCAACGTGTCGTAAATTAAAATAAAAAGAAACCTTTTAAGGAATTTTCCATCTACCAAAAACATGCAAAGACATACTAATCAGAATAACAGAAATTCATCCCTAAACGAGTACATCTAGTTTGTGGCAATTGACATCATCATTGTACAATAAAACTTAAATGCACCCAGTAGCACAATATTTGACATAGTATACACTCTCCAGAAGTAACTAGACCTTAGTCACACTTATATAACTCATAAGTCTAATTAGTGAAGCAGTGGAGACACTTCTAAATGAAAACCAAGGAAAAAGCCAAGACAGAAACTAGATTACTTCACTTACCATTTTGATGCAACATTGACAATAAGGAGAACCTTTCCCCTATAATTGCTCAAAGGTACCTCATTTCCCTGTATATCCTGCATTTTCAATCTCGTTAGCAAGCTTAAATACCATGTTCTAATATAAAAAAAGAAAACAACTTTTAGACAGAGTTGCTTAGTTCTCTCATAATTTGTTAATCCTCAACTATTCAAACCTTTTGAATTCCAATAGTTAGTTAAATTTCTGAAAGTTCATAATATAAGTAATACAATCAATTATGCCTAATGATAGAATTATAACTCAGATTATGCTCTGAACTAGTTTAACATAAGTACCGAACTCCAAATAAGTGACTAAAGATCCAAGTTATATAAAGCGGCAAATAACCGGAACTTGAATTACCTGTCCAGAAAAACTGAACTTCACTAAATCCAAATTAAAGTCTACAACAACAGCATACCGGTGTATTCTCACAAGTTGGTCCAGGAAGGATAGAGTATACATGAACCATACCCCTACCTCATGGAGATAGAGAGGGTGTTTCCGAAAGAAGCTCAGCTCAAGTAACAGATTAAATTAGACTCTAGATAAGTGGATCATAAAATTGAGAAATGCAAACAATATTTCAAAGTGAACCCATTAAATTAGACTCTACTAGATAAGTGGATCAAAAAATTGAGAAATGCAAACAATATTTCAAAGTGAACACAACCAAACTATGGTTCTGCAAGCATGCACAAACTGTCTTAGGGTCTCTCCTCCCCACTATCAACACTATCTTTCCACACACCAAGCACACACACACAAAGAAAGAGTTACCATCTACATAATTTCAAGAAAGAGATAGAATATAACAAGTGGGTACTAGAAAGATGAAACAAAATGACACCAAAATCCAAACTTCAAAAGCAATATTCAATAAAAATTGAATCTTTCTTCAACTTTCAGCAAAAGAAACCAAAACAACAAGTGGGTATTACAGATATGAAACCAAATACCACAAAAATCCAAACTTCAAAAGCAATATTCAATAAAAATTGAATCTTTCAGCAAAAGAAACCAAAACAACAAGTGGGTATCACAGATACGAAACCAAATAACACCAAAATCCAAAGCTCAAAAGCAATAAGCAATAAAATTGAATCTTTCTACAACTATCAAGAAACCAAAACCAAAACTTGAAAACTCAAGAACAAGGGAAACCCCAAAAAGTGTATACCTTCACAGTGAAATCATAAATAGATTTTGGTGATCCTTCAGCCATAAGAGAAAAAGATGGGTATCTATAGAACAAGAACAAAGCAAGAACAAGAAAGAAAAGAGCAGCTAAATTGGTGAAACTCAGCATCTTCTTATTCTATCTAACCTATGCATATATAAGTCAAAAAAAAATTAATTAAATGGGGTAATCAAAATCAAACAAGATATTTGGCAATGAAAGCGAAATTTATTACTTTAATTAGGAAAATGTGCTCTTAATTTTGGTAGTTGTTGTTCTTCCATGTGATTTATCAACTGTTGCTGACAAGCAAGGCAAATATGAATATTTTGAGTTTTGTCTATTAAAAGAACTTTTATTTTTTTATTTTTGGAGTTTCTTTTTTTGTTGAAATTTGAATTTTTTACATTTTTCTGCCAATTGAATATTTAAAAACTGAACTTACCGTAAAAGAAATTGTAATTTACTTAATTATTTTAACTTAAATAAGTAACAAGCCTTAGAGAATATGAGCAAATAAGTTTAAAACTTTAAATCGAAATTATTTAGTGTGAACATTTTAATTATGTGTTTAGATATTTAAACTATAAAAGTATGAGTATTTAAATAAGATATATTGACAAATTTAACGAGCCGTGATATAGTGAATCTTTGGTGGATTACTTTTTAGTTAAACTGAGTCAAGCAATAATCTTTTAATTATAATAATGTTTTTGTATACTCTATTCTTTTAAAATTTCACAAATTATGCTATTGTTGTTGTATTTTTTTTTATCCAAATTTATAAATTTGCCCCTATTCTCTATTCGAATCAGCTTTTGTAAACTTTAATTCAACGGGATAGACTCTTAATCAATTTATTTACCACATTCTTTGGTGCAATTCACTTTATAAATCTTTATTATTTATTATGTAGTTCTTTTTTCTTTTATAATATTTTTTTCTCTATATACTTAATCTCTTCATACACATGATTCATTTATATTTTTATCATTTAAAGTAAAATAGGAGTCCCATAACTAATTTATTAGTAAAAATGATATTATGGCCATACATGAATCTCTCCCTTAAATGGACACGTATTGGTTTTTATTTATCACGAGGAATACCTAATCGAAGAATTTTTGTTTAAAAGGTTTGAAAAATAAAAGTAAAAATGTGTAAATAAGTCTTTAGAAATGGAAACTTCCAATTCTTAGGATTTAGAAATCAAATTTTTAATGCTTTCACTGGAATTTGAGACACATGCACATTTTATTTATCACGAAGACCACCTAACTGACGGATCTTTGTTTAGGAGACTTGAATTCTTTTGGGTTTAAAAGTCAAAATTTTAGTGCTCTCATTGAAATTCGAGACACGTGCACGTTTTATTTATCACGAGAAGCACCTAATTGACGGATTTTTGTTTAGGAGGTTTGAAAAAATAAAAGTATAAACGTGTAAATAAGTCTTTGGAAATGAAAATCTTGAATCCTTCTTGGTTTAAAAATCAAAACTTCAATGCTTTCATTGGAATTCGAACCAGTGACGTACAACATAATTTGGGGGTACTTGCAATTGCACCATCTGTTTCTCTTTGTTGTTGAAGGGATTCAAAATATATATACCTACAGAAATACAAAAAATTTACCTTATAGATACCGTGTAATTTTTACCAAGGAGTTCAAATGAATCCCTGGATACCACGTGGATCCGCCCCTGAGTCTATGGATAGTGCACACTAATTGAGGTGGGTCGGATCATTTAAATAAATGTTTGGATAGGTCAAGTTATGGGTAGTAAATTAGTAATATTATAAATTAGGGATATTAATAAGCATCGTACTAAAGATAAAAACAAAAAAATTGACTAGATTTCGAATTGAGTTTACTTCTATACAGAATTTTTCGATGTAAATTCATATTGTAAAAACAAACATTTATGCAAAGATTATTTGTCAAATGAATCCAATATTAGAGGAATTAATTAAGTAAAAAGTCTTTTAAGAAAGATACTCTCAATGACCTCGTTTAATTTGATATAAAAAAATCAAAATATTTTTCTTAAAAAAATTATGATTTAAATTAAATCTTAATATTCATTTGACGATAAATTTAAGAATAAAAAATAATTTGAAATTAAGTTGGATCCAGAAATACCTTTCTAGAATCTCTGTTTTCCTTTCAATAGTAGGTGGGTGACTATTAAATTCCCAATCACGTGCCACTAATTAAGCAACAATTTTTTCACACCTCTCTACTTATGTATATTGATAAAGTAGTTACAAATGTGTTATTTGAATATGAAGATTATATATTTGTTTCATTTTTCGAATGTCTAATGAGGTAGTGATAAAGTATATGTACAGACAACAAAATTAGCTAAGATAAAAAAAAATTTAAAAGAACAATCATAGACAAAATAAATGAAAACATGGTAGGTACATTAAAAAGCTTAGAATCATGGTAAAATTTCAAGAGGAGAGTCATACATTTAAGTAAAAAGATAGATCTCTGGTTGATCATTACAGAATGAACTAAACTAAAGTCTAAACAGATGCTTCCATCTTTTCGTCTTCAGAATCTTTTTCATCCTCAGAGAAATTTGGAGCTTTAGGAACAAGTCCAAGTAATTTGAACATATTCTGATCAGCATCATAGTCATTATTTGGTGTAGTCAACAACTTCTCACCTGTAAAGATGGAATTGGCACCAGCAAGGAAACAAAGAGCCTGCTCGGGGACAGAAAAACGAACTCTTCCTGCAGAAAGCCTAACCATTGCACCTGGCATTGTTATTCTTGCTGTCGAAATCATCCTAATCATATCCCATATGTCCACTGGCTGGAAGATGAAAAATGAGTTTGAGATTAGCAATGAGATCAGAATAAGTTAAGGTTATTAATCCACTTTTCCCTAGAACTCATTTCAGAGAGCTGTATCCATTGAATCAAGGAAATTTAAGATCTTATCCGTTCAATTAATTTTCAGAAATGCATTGAATTTCGTCAGAGGATGGGATGGGTGTCAATTATTTTGTGGTCTATGAATATCACAGTTTTGTGGAGTTGTTTTAAGCTTTAAGTTGTGATGAACTAGACATTGTGTTTCCAGTCATGATCTGAGGTGGGAGACATCTGCCCCCAGCCATGCGTGCTACTTAACAGAGAAAAGCAATGTTTTATGAAACTACCAATGCTGAAAGGTGAAGCATCAAAGTTCAAACAAAACTATAACTAAATAAGATAAAGTTCCTTAATGTGGTAACTGTTGACACTCTACCAAGGGCTTTTCTACGATGACTCAACGTATTATGTTGGTAGTACAGTATGGTTAGGCTAAGCTGATGGACATTTTTTTATTACTGTTTTGCGGAACTGAGGTGTACAAAGCACAAATCATTATAGAATCAGAAGTTAATGAAAAGCACTGCAACAATATTTAAAGTTTTATTCCTTAATATATGAGGATTACCTTCTGGTCTTCCAATGGTGTACCTTTTACTGCAATAAGTGCATTAATCGGCACACTCTCAGGGTGAGTTGGAAGAGTTGACAGGGTATGCAACAAACCAATTCTATCCTCTTCAGCCTCACCGAGCCCTATTATTCCACCTGATCGAAGAAAATAAGAGGTTAGCAAGATTTTGATGAGGATTGGCACATCATGAAGATTTTTTACTACACAACCTATGTCAAAACAAACACAACTGACTATTTTTCAATCATTCCCTTAACTTCCAATAATAAAATAACAATTAAGAATACCCTACCAACAATTATTAATGATTCGTCTATCTATGAACAGGAAGTCATAAAGAAGAAAAACAGTAAGAAGTTCAAATTGAAAGGTCTGAAAGACCTTTTACTAACAATTTAGAAATTAGAACTCATGTCAAAATACTTGAAGTAGGGTTCACTTTCATGTCCTAAAGAAAATCAGTTTTATGTTCTCATCAAGAGGCTTTAAGGCTGCTCAAAAGATCTTAGCTGCCAATGACATTGCACTTATAATCAAATCGTTTCAACTCACTATATGTGGTGGTATACACCCAATAATGTGATACTTCAGTATTTGCATATACATGAACATGCATGCATCAAATATAGAGTCTAGATTGATGGTTCTACATATTGTTAATTTGTTATTCCAATGAGTCACAAGTGTCAATATATAAACACAACATTATTTTATACTTCAACGAATACCTGAACACACATTAATTCCTGCTTCGCGTACATGCTTAAGAGTTTCCAGCCGCTCATCATAAGTTCTAGTGGTTATAATATTAGGATAGTATTCTCTTGAGGTGTCAAGATTGTGATTGTATGCTGTTAGACCAGCTTTCTTGAGCTCTAAAGCTTGCTGCTTCTCAAGCATTCCCAAGGTGCAGCAAACCTCCATTCCCATGTCCCTTCATATTGAGAATAATTTGCACAACATTAAATAATTGGGCAGAACAAAATCAATGGATGCCTCAGTTGTTGTCATGTCATAGTGAAACATTTTCAACTTGTTTGTGCATTACATGTAAACATGATGGCAATTGATAGTCTATAGTTTTTCTGTTATTTTTTGTTTAACTTCAATAAACAATATTTGGGTATGCGTTATTGCCACAACCCACAAACAAGGACTAAGAAGAAAATGTGGTGTTTTTGATTAGAAGTTGCACAATCACAGAACTACTCATGAAAGTTTCTTGCGAGGAAGAAAGCTTTTAGAATGGGTAACAGATGGTCTAATGTTTAACCAATTAATTAGTAAACCTAATCCTGCTTGCTTCTGTAGTCATTCTACGAAGCAGAAGAAATGCTTCTCAATTTCAGAGATCATCGTAACTCCAGTTTCCTCACTCTTTAAACTTCAAAGCTACAAGGAAATAACAAAATAGACAACAAGGCCCTGCAATACTGTCCTCAGCATCTAACCAGCCTACAGTTGTCTGATACTTGATATATTCGAATTAGTTTAAACTAACAAAATATCAAGAGGCCTATTGTTTCTAGATTCTTGTCTCTTTTATGAGTTAACTCATATGTTTCTCAAATTAGTGTTCACCTCATGATTGAAGGTAAATAGAGAGAGTTGTTTCTTTTCCTATATAACTTTTGACTCCTAATGCTTAGTCATTAAGTCTTTTGACCATTACTAGGTAAATCAAATTGTGGCAAGGTACTAGCTC